AAGATATTGTACATCTATATTGATAAGGAATGTTAGTCTGTAGTTTTGTTTTCTTGTGATGTCTTTAATTTTGATATCAGGGTAATATTGACCATATAAAATGAGTTGGCAAAGGGCCGATATGCTTCTGTTTATTGAAAGAATTTGTGAAGGACTGGTGCTAATCCTACATTAAACCTTTGGTCAAATTCACTAGTGAAACCATCTGGGCCTAGAGTTATCTTTGTGGGAAGCTTTTTGATTACTAGTTTAATCTCTTTACTTATTATAGGTCTGCTGAGATTTTTCTATTTCTTCTCAGGTCATTTTTGTTAATTTGTATCTTCATAGGAATTTTCTTATCTCATCTAGGTTATCTAATTTATTGGAGTACAATTGTTGATAGTATTATCTTATAAACCTTTTAATTTCTGTAACATCAGTAGTAATGTCTACTCTTTCATTCTTAATTTTGATAATTTAGTAATCTCTTTTTTCTTGGTCAGTCTAGCTAAAGATTTGTCAATGTGTTGATATTTTTGAAAAACTAACTTTTGTCTTTCTTGATTTTTCTCTCATTTTTCTATTTTTGATTTCATTTCTAGTCTAATTTGTATTTCCTTTTGTTTACTTTGAGTTTGCTGTTATTTTTCTAGTTAAGGTGGAATATTGGGGTTTTTGTGATATTTCTTCTTTTTTAAAATAGGTGTGCACAGGTATAAATTTTATGCATACACTGTTTTAGCTGTATTACATAAGTTTTGGCATATTGTGTTTTAGTTTTCATTTGTTTCAAAATGTTCTCTAATTTCTTTTTATTTCTTAACCAGTTTGTTATTTAGAAGTGTGTTGTTTGATTTACACATATTTGTGAATTTTGCAACTTTCTTCTCTTATTAATATGTAATTTCATTTCAATGTGTTCAGAGGAGATATTTTATTTAATTTTGATCCTTTTAATTTATTGAAACTTGTTTTATGGCCCAAGGTGAAGTGTTCTGTGTATGTCCATTAGGTACAGTCAGTTTATGGTGTTGAAGTCTTCTATTCCCTGTTAATCTTCCATCTAGCTGTTCCATTCTCTAGTCTTCTTGTAGTTCTTTAATGTAAACCATTTTTGCATCTTGTCAATATGATATTAGACATAAGGTCAGATTCTATACACATATAATTTTATGTTCACATTAAATATTAACTAATATATTTAGCCATTTTTCTGTTAGAATTTAAGATCTTCATAGTTTTACTTAAAACTGGTATTTTTGTGTTTAAGAGCTTCTCTGTATTTGGAGTTGTTTCATACAGTAGTTGAATTACTGGTAAAAGGGTATGGCAATTAAAGCATTCACCAATAACACTTTGTATACTTCAGCCTAAAGGCGGGCTTCACTTGGCCCAATAACCTCAATGTGAAAGTAATAGAAGAAATACAGGAGTATATTTTTGCAATCTAGAGATAGTGTGGTAGTTCTTCACTCTTCAGATAACACTTCAAAAGTACAGCTCATAGGGCAAACAAAAATGTCAAATATGGATGAATATGATTGTATTAACACAATATTTCTGCTTAATGAAGGACACCGTGGACAAAATTAAAAGACATAATGACAGTTTGGGAGTTTTTTGCAATGTTTATAATCAACAAGGGATTAATATCAAGCATAGAGTAGGAGATAATGCAGGTTGACAAGACAGACAATTCAAATAAAAAGGGAAGAAAGAGTATGAACTAGAATTTTACAGAATAAACCCAAAGGCTATTAAACATATGAAGATACTTACTAAACTAAGTAGTAATCAGAAAACTGCAAATGAAACAAGCAGGTTTCACTTTACATCATTCAGAGCGGAAAAAAATTAGAAGCTAAGATGATGCCAAACGTTGTCAGTGACGTAGAAGTCCTCATCCATGTGACGGGAGTGCGGCTGTTGCAGCCATTCTGAAGCGTAATCTGGCAGTAACTAGCCAAATGAGTTTTTGGTTTGTTGTTTTTGTTTCTTTTTGTTTTGTTTTGTTGTTTTTAGGGCCAGAGACTTGCTATGTTGCCTAGGTTGGACTTGAACTCCTGGGCTCAAGTGATCCTCCCATCTCAGCCTCTCTAGAAGCTGGGAATATAGGCACGTGCCACTGTGCCTGGCTCCTGATGAGGTTTATGAACATAATAGCATCCATAAATCCTGCTCCTGTTTATACCTCAAAGAAATTCTGTTGTGGCAGAATCTAGGAGTCTACCTCTGGGAGAGTGAATTTGTAAAATGTGGTAGACATGAACCATGGAATACTCAACTGCAATTAGACGTGGGCTAGATGTACACATGGCAACATCATGGGTTTCAAAATCATAGTGTTGAGTGAAAGAGAGTAGGAAACAGACTGGAGGCCTAATACCATTTATATAAATTAAAAATGCACACACACACAATATAATGCGTATTTTGCACGAACATTCAGAATGGTACCTTGGAGGGGAGGAAAATGAGAATGGGAACTAGAGATAAAGGGAATAAATAAATAATATTAAAAAGAGAAGAGCTTTGCATGGATCAAATACATGTCATGAACTGGAAGTTATGACTAACACAACCATTTCCACTTAATGTCCTAAACGAATGAATGAATGAATGAATGAATGAATGAATGAGTTCATCATATGTTCCTTCTTTAATATGTATTGCATTAACATCCATTCTTTGGCACTGACAAACTTTTGCTCCCACTGACTGGTATATAAGCATGCCTTTTCTCCCCATACCTTACCAGCTCAGAACATTCTTAGTCTTTCAGACTGTTCTCATTTGAGGCAAAAATTGCATCTCATTGTTTTTACTTGCATTGTTCTATCAAATATGATGCTAATATTTCACTAAATATGGTTTGGCAAAATGTGTTTGCCAAATTTTTTTGGTGTTAGAACTTCTTCATTTTACATTTGTATCTATTCAGATTTTCCATTGGAATTATTTCTGTTGCTGTTAAATGTAAAAGTCCTCATATTTAATATTCTATTTTATACATTTTTATGACTTGGTCACTTTGTGTCTTTAATCAACTAGAATGCTTAGAGAACTAATTGCCACAGCACCATGTTAGATGGTCCACATATTTATGATACCTTCTTTAGAATAAACAGTTAACATAATTAGGATCCACTTTGTGGCTGACCTAATGTCAATAATCAGTGATTTGATTATTATAGTTTTATGGTATGCTTTTGTTCCATTTCTCCTTCATTATTCTTCCTTTAAAAAGTTTGTGGGGACTACCATTTGTTTTTTCTGGATAAAATTATAACCCAAATGATCTAGATTTTATCAGCTTGTAAGGTTAAATTAATAATACTATATTCTCATGAATTTATTTACAATAGTTGGCAGATGTCACATTCTTCTTTGTCGCATCTATGCAATTTATCTTTGTGCAAGGGGCATAGAGAGATCTTTACGGTAATTGCTTCAGAACAATGATTAAGAGTTACAATTGCTTCCTGGCTAAGATCAAGTAAAGAATTACAGACTTATTTTTTTCTGCATCTCTTGAAAAAGAAAAATTATGAAGACGGGGCAGGTATCAATGCAAGAGTTTCCTGAGGGTCTCCCACAATACAATTGTATTTTTCTAATGAGTTGGCTAGTATATAGGTTTGTTTGTCCTACAATGAACTTTTAAAATTCTATATATTCCTTTATGTATAAAATAATTACCAAAATAATATTGTTTATTAAATGCCTGCTCTGTTCCAAGCATGGTGCTAGACACTTTAGGATCTATTATTTCATCTAATCTCCACAACAACTCTATGAAGTATGTATTATAATTTTATAGATCAGAAAACTGAGGCTCAGGATACTGCTAATAAGCAGCAGAAATAGGATTCCCATCCAGATGTTCCCAAAACCAGCATTTTTTCTAGTTCATGACACTAATTTCCAGCAATCATATAACCTCAAAATAATATGTACCTTTATTATACCACTCGCAATTTCAGGAACATAGTTCAATAATAATGGCATTCTTTATGTATTCCTGATTTTATTAAGAAAGTCATTTGTGTTTCACCATTAAATAAGCTGATAGTTATGACTAAGAAAAATATTTTTATTAAATTTCTTAAGCAATGTTGAAAAGGTATTAAAAATTAAGTGAACAGCCATGTACCTAGCACCCAGCTTAAAACATAAAACATTAACAACACAATATATATCTTTCCTTGATTATATCATGTATCCCCCCACCCATGCCCTGGAGGTAATCACTTTTTTGAATTTGGGGCTTCAGGACAGCTATTCTGTATTCCCTCAGCTTTATTGAGGTATAATTGACAGAATTGTATACAAATACTCCTCAACTTACATAACTCATCATAGGTTGAAATAGTGTAAGTCAAAATGTAGTTAATACACCTAGCCTACCAAGCATCGTAGCTTAGGCTAACCTACCGTATGCATGCTCAGAACATGTACATTAGCCTGCAGTTGGGCACAATCACCTGGCAACATGGACCACTGTAGAGTATCTGGTGTTTAGCCTTGTGATTGCACATGGCTGACTGAGAGTTGCACCTGCTGCCGCTGCCCAGCATCTTACTGTGTATCACCAGCCCAGAAAAGATCAAAATTCAGAATATGGTTTATACTGAATGTGTGTCATTTTTGCAGATCAGATGCCCCTCCCTGTGCATTCCTATAGCACCTCAAAGTCATCTCTATCAATCAGTCATTTCGTTGTAAAGAAGTCTTATTTGTATGTGTGTATCCCTGACATGACTGAGACTTCATAAATTCTGTAAGCTCAACATGAATAAAGAAATGAATTGGTGTTCATCTTAAGTTGTAGTCTCTGCAGATATTGTTTCATCTAAGGGAGTGGTCTTTGTTTGATTTTGTTCCATCAATAAAGGGTGCTGAACACCCTTTGTTTTGATTTTCCTTTGATTTTTGGAAAACCATGCATTTCTATTTCAGTGATGCTTTTAAAAAGCCATTTTTGTCATTAATCCAGATTTGTTCTCATTTGATTCTAGTTGTTGAAATGGATGAAAACAACGGACTTTTACTTTTAGAACTGAATCCTCCTAATCCTTGGGACTCAGAGCCCAGATCTCCTGAAGAGTTGGATTTTGGAGAAGTCCAGGTAAGGAAATATTAAAAGGATGATATTATTAAACACAAAAATGTAACTAAGATGTCCATTTAACATCTGTATCTGTAAACATCCTATATTATCTTGAATACTCTTTGAGGTGGGTATTTATGACATATGATAAAAAGTCAATCAAACAAATTCTTTAAGGAACCCCCAGAACCTGGCAGGGATTACAAGGAAAAAACACAAAACTTTGGGAAAATCCCTAAGGAGACTCATGCAAAACTATTTGAGATTACCCGTGATGCCAGAACACTACTGGATAGAATGGGTAGTTGTATTTTCCAGCTTCATAAGAGAATTTCCTTCAGAGGAAACACTTCAATAGTTTGGGAGAGGTACACAATCAAAAGTTAATGTTTCTGTGTATTTAGAAAGATTGTGTATTATTTGGGCAGGTACTTTAAGGAAACAAATGAGAACCTGCCTGGAATAGATGTAATAAAAACTAATCTGTGCCTTGACCTTTCCTCACCCACTTTGTTGGCTTTTCACATGACGTTCCTGCTATCTTATCTCTGCTTCTGAATACATTCCTTTTCTCTAGAGGTGCCAAGCTGTGGCAAGAGAATGAGGAACGGATTTGGAATCCCCATGGTGCCAGTCTCTAAGTCATTCTTTGTATCCATTCTTAGAGGCCCTGGCATCCACGAGTAATTATTTAACAGGTAATTTAGAAGAGAAAGTCTTACAAGCCTGTTTAGCCAGTTGTCAGTTGAGTCTGCATGGCTATGCCAACCCACCAAACTCACGAGAATCATCCATTCATATTGCTATTCACAGCCACTCTGGCATTTAAATCCCCAAATGTTTGTGATAACATCTCTAACTGCCTTTCCTTGTAAAGTTTGCTTTAAAGGACTGGTCACAAAATATGTTCTTCAGTGTGGACCGTAAATAACTGTTTAGGAACTAATTTAAATAAACTAAAACTAGGTAAACCAATTGGTTTGTCATCTAAAACTAACCATGAGAATTTATATTTGAATAAAGTCATGACCTGTGCTGGGAACTGTGTTCTGTGAAAGGCTCTTGTTGGATTGTATTTGAGTCCGAGATTTTGCCTGATCATGCTTGGGAGCAAAGTACTCCAACCTGTGTACTTTGTCAGCCACCCAAACCAAACATTTCCGTTCATTGTTGCTGACCAGTAATGAACAATTCAATAATAGGAATCTCACTCTCTTTTAACAGATAACATACCTCACTCACGCCTGCATGGACCTCAAGTTAGGAGACAAGAGAATGGTGTTTGACCCTTGGTTAATCGGTCCTGCTTTTGCCCGAGGATGGTGGTTGCTCCATGAGCCTCCATCTGATTGGCTGGAGAGGCTGTGCCAGGCAGACCTCATTTACATCAGTCATCTGCACTCGGACCACCTGAGGTAATGAAGTCCTGAGCACACAACTCCTAAGCTCATGCTACAGGGAAGGCATCAAATGTTCTCCAATTCTTTTGCAATCACTGTTGACTTTGAAGTAGGTTCAGCTGGGATGATGAAAAGAGGACTAATTAAGATAAATATTTATATTTGCATAGAAAGTTTATACTTTTAAAACTGTTTCCAGAAAGACAAATATGGCATGTTCTCACTTATAAGTGGGAGCTAAATAATGTGCACAAATAGGCGTAGAGAGTAGAATGACAGACACTGGAGGTTTAGAAAGGTGAGGGGGTGGGAAGTAGGTGAATGATGAGAAATTATTTAATAGGTACAATGTACATGATTAGGATTAATAATGCTCTGATTTCACCACTGTGCAATCTTTGGTTGTAACAAAATTGCACTTGTACCCTATAAAATTATACAAATGATTTACACTTTTCTACACTTTACACCATTGGGAGTGAGGAAGGAGCTATTGTAAGGAAGCAGGAGAGGATGAATAACCGTCTCACTTCCCACCCTAAGGGAACACACATTTTCTCTAAAGGGCCAGAGCCTAAATATTTTAGGCTTTTCAAGCCATACAGTGAGAGTTGCCACCACTCAACCCTGCTGTTGTAACCCAAAAGCAGCCATAGATGGTCCTGAATGAGACTGACTGTGTTCCAATCAAATTTTATTTATGGATAATGACATGTGAATATCATATAATTTTCATGTATTACAAAATATCATTGTCCTTTTGATTTTCTTTACAACCATTTAAGAGGTAAAAACCATCCCCTCAGCTGTGGGCAAGCTTCCAAAGAAAAAAGAAGCCACCCTTAGCTTGCAAGGTTGTACATAAACAAGCAGTAGCAGGTTGGATTCAGCCCAAACATGGTTTGCCAAGCTCTGATTTATAGTATCCGAACACTAAACACCCAACATAGTAATCCTGACTCAACCTCACTCAGTATTTCATTGGAACCAGAGTAATATGATGCTAATGATAGCAACTGAAATTTTCCCTGACCCAGGCAATTAAAAAAGAGGGAGAAAGGAGGACTTTAAGTTAAGAAACCACACGTATTTGCGAATGTACTGAGCTATTAGAAGAGGGAAGCACATATTGCCGATTCCTTTGCTTAACTATAGGGTCATATTTCTTCATCATTATTTTGAAATTTGTATCACTTCTGCTGGATTGCCAATATAAACACATAACAATGCCCATAATGTGCTACTCAAGCAATTCAACTTTGTTTTTCTGTGCCCCTACATGACAAAATGGTTAGAGATAACATGTTGGTTGCTGGTTGACTGACCCCTTAATTTTTTATTCTAAAGCATATGGGAACTCTAAATAGTGAATATGCTCTGATTTATTTTTCAGGGAAGTGTTTTTTTTTTTTTAATTAACTGATTTAGTAACAAATTGCCTGCAACACACTTCTTAACTGATCACAACCCCCTAGGATACTGTGGTACTACAACTAAAATTCCACTTTATATGATACCTTTGTGCCACATTACCTCCTGGAACTACACTTGCATAATTTCAGTATTACAAGAGCCCTGAGTTCATTTGTTGTACAATAACAGTAATGTGTGGTAGTAATTTTGTATAGCTTGTGTAGGGACAATAGCACATAAATGATGTGATTGCTTTATAGTGTCTAAGATGCAATTACCTAAAGTCTTAATGAGAGACATTCTATGGGAATACACTAAATTTAGGGAGGGTAAGAACTCATTTGTTGAGTTATTCTTTACTGTCTTGAAAACCAGTTTAGCTTTCATTTCACAGGCTTGTGTCGACAGTTGTCTTGCGTTAAAACAACAGTTTTCAACTATAGTATCATAACACATTGGTTGTGCAGTGTGTTGCAGATAGTTTATTATTGAAAAGGGGCCAAAGCTTGTGATTTTTTTTACTCCTTTGGGTCTATTTCCTTGAAAGACCCTTACTTTTTGACTCTTCCCTAGTCAACTAATAAACATCAAGATTGTTTGCCCCCAACCCTTCTGTCTGACCTTTATTTACTGAATAAAGCCTCCCTGATTTACAAAAACAAGGGAAAAGGCCAATGTACTTTGGTGGATTGCCAGTAAGAATTATTAGCAATTGAAAAATCCAAAGCAACAAACATCCATTTTAGAATAACTTATCCTAACTCCCAAAGTCCTTTAAAATGCAGGATTTCATTGTTGAACCCAGAGACTGAAGGTACATTCAAAGAATCATTGATTTTTTGAATCTTTTTTTGGGGGGGGAGAAAGTTTATTACTTCTGTCACTTCCTTCCAGATTCTACTTATTTGGATAGCTTTTAACGCAATGCTGGAACTTGAATATTAGTACAGCTAAGTGCTGATATACAGATTTTTAAAGTACTTTTCCTATGATTATATATATTATTTTGCCTGATCTTATACTCTGTGTACAAGTCTGATTCTTAAACCAGATAGTATATTCGTTAAAGTTAGAAACTTTCTTCTTATAGAAGCACTAGGTTTAGAATCAGAAAACCCAAATTTGAATACCGATTTACTGTGTGTTGTGTATTTCTGAATGTTTCCTCATCTACAAAAACAAAAAAATTCGTAGCTTTTTTGTAGGAATTGAATAACATAGTATGTAAAACTGCCCCAGCACCAAGTTTGAAATAATAGATGTGTAATCATTTATTTGTTTATTCAACTTTCTACCACCCCCTACAGTATAATAACTCTGTTATATAATGAATGCTCAATAAATAAAAATCTGACTTAATATGTTTAGATAGTCAAAAAGACTTGGATGATTGATTGTGTACTGAGTTGGGATTACTACAGTTGTTGAATGTAGTTCCTCAACACTAAATTTCACTGTCTTGCCTAGCTGGTAATTCTGTCCCTCCCTTAAGGGTAAATAATATAGTCTGTTAAAGTGTGACTTTGATATACAACATATATTATTTATCCTTAAAAAAGGACAGAATCTTTGAAGGTTGAAAAACCGACCCCCAAAAATGGTCCTGGGGGGCTTTTGTCCTGTACTATGTCCCAGTCCTCTCTCTTACTGCGAGCTACTGCTTGAGGAATGCAAAGAAATGAGGATCTCCATGATCTTCATTTCTTTTCTCTACAGCATGACTTTTTCTCGTCTGTGTCTACTGTTAGAACTACCCCTCCTTCAAGCAGCATCAGTGTGGCAATGGAACTTGCATACCTGGTTGATGTCCACACCATGAGCATATGATATGTTCTAACAACAAAGATGAATCCCCTCAGAATCTCCCATCACTTTCACAGTCAGCCTTGAACAGAAAAACTTTTCTCTAGTCTTTGGGGAGAGTTCAGTTTTTCAATTCCTCACTTCTCTGTCATATATGTTGGTAAAAGGAACAAACTGTCTCTCATACTAGATGACACTATTTTTTTCTCCTTTCAACCTTTCCATCTGTCTTATCCTAGTTACCCCACACTGAAAAAGCTTGCTGGGAGAAGACCAGATATTCCCATTTATGTTGGAAACACAGAAAGGCCTGTATTTTGGAATCTGAATCAGAGCGGTGTCCAGTTGACTAATATCAATGTCGTGCCATTTGGAATATGGCAGCAGGTCAGAAATCTGTTTTCTTTCCATGCTTTCCAGTTATGCTTTCTGGAATGAATGTTATGTGAGATAGTCACCATAAGATTAAGTAAAAAAATGGGCCAATGTGGTCTGTCCCTGATACTGCATAAACACAACCTCTATTTGAGCTTCAAACGTTAGGCAGACTGTCCTGGGCAAAGATTATTTTCTTTCCATTAGCCCATACTATTATAGTATAACACTACAGAACAGGTAATAAATCTAGTTCTGAATAAGGAAATTTCCTCAAATATGAGGTTCAATTGACCATTCTTTCCAGAACAGGTGATTACCTTCTCAAATACTGAATTAAAAACCAAACTGAAATTCACAGTTGTTGGTTTGATTGTTAAATTCCAGGTGGACAAAAATCTTCGATTCATGATCTTGATGGATGGTGTTCATCCTGAGATGGACACTTGCATTATTGTGGAGTACAAAGGTATGTTTTTACCCCCATTGACAATGAAAAATGGAAAACATTCTTAATAGGAAGGATAGTAATATCTATATGAAATTTCATCACATGTTTATCTTCTAGCTCCATTTTGAAAGAATATAGCATATTATATCCTTGTCCTAGAAATATGGAGCTACCTTTCAAATAATTTTTCCAGAAAACAAATTATAAATAATGTCATCTAGATTGTGACAGGAGCAAAGCTTTCTTTCATAAGGCAATAAATATTTTACATTCCACCTATAGTGATTTCTTCAAAACTACCTTTATTAAATAAATGTCTTTTATTACTTTCACCTAGAAATATCATGTAATATAATCATGCACTGCTTTTCATATGAAAAGATGGCCTTACTGCCCCAACAATCATTTGATTATGAACTTCGCATGTAATTTGCAAAAGATACAGGGAAGTATGTTAATCCACTCTTTTCTGATCCTTTGGGTTCAACACCTGGAAAAAGGTGACTGAAGAAAGCAGTCTATGAATGAGCTAGAGTGGAATTAAGGTAAATGTCTTCATGAGACACTTAGAATCCACCAAGTCAAATAGGATGAATTTAGTCACTTGAAAATTCAGAATATACTATTGAAAACTTTAAGTTTTAAAAGCTTACTGTTTTCCCTTTAATATAATCAATTCTTCTATAATCAAATAAGTTCAATTATACAGACTGTACATGGAAGACTTTGTCTTGGAATTGAAACCATTCATGGGTGTTCAAGATTTCACCTTGAATACCTATACCTCTTTGTTTCTCCACAGGTCATAAAATACTGAATACAGTGGACTGCACCAGACCCAATGGGGGAAGGCTCCCTACGAAGGTTGCTCTAATGATGAGTGATTTTGCTGGAGGAGCATCAGGCTTTCCAATGACTTTCAGTGGTGGAAAATTTACTGGTAATATTTTATATGAAAGTGATACCAAGTATCAGGCATGACACATTGCTAAATGCGGTGAGAGTAAATACAAATGTAATTGAGACATGGTCCCTCCCCACAAGAAGCATGCAATCTTATTGGGAAACAAGACTTGTAAGTTGCAGATTACAAACTAAGGTTTCTAGCTCAAAATGTGATGCAGCATGAAGGAAATGTTGAGATCTGAGAGCACCTCAGGAGGAGCCAAGAAAAAGAATCACTTGGATTCACCATGTAGACCATAGAGCAGAACAGGAAAGGCCTGAAATGGGTCATCCAGGCTTAGGTGCTCTTGGAATATGGTTCCTAACGGGGTGTGCACCTCAACCTGTGGATGTTCATATCAGGGAGCAATGCACCCACAGAGGGTCCTCTAGTGGGGGACCTCTAGTGCACCCAGAGGAGGGTCCTCTGGTTGGGGGTCTTAGGCAGGAGCCTTTCTGCTCTGGGTCCAAGAGTGGGGTTGGGGTTGGCTTGGGGGAAGTGTGTATCCTCAACACTAGCATTGTAAGTGCTCAATAAATGTCCACTTAATAAATTAATATATCTGATAAGTGATCCCTGTCTAACAATGTGGCAGAAAATGCCCTGTTTTACAATATGAAGATAACCTTTGTCCCGTTCTTTGCTTTCTTCTCTAAGTCTATATTCATTGCCTCCCAGAGTGTGTAACCACATGAGAAATAGAGGGAAGGTTCTGTCCTTAAGAAGTTAAAAGTGTGACTGGGAAGGTAAAACATACTTATTAAAGGTTAACTGGCATTATCCCATTGTGTGTGACAGTGAGTTTGTGTGTGTGTGTGCACGTATGCGTGAGTACACGCATATACATTTAAAAAGGTCTTAAATATACCATAATGTTATGTCTAGGTGATGGGTAGCTTGTATATTTTTTTATATCCTTATCTGTGTTTGTCAAATTTCATAGAAACATTAACAGTAACAGCTCCCTGATCTTGTACCCGATATGCTCTGAGTCCTGTCTAATTCCTCAAGTTCCTTCACTGCCTGTCACTCTGATGCTTGCTATATATCAACCCATCCTGCCTTTCGTTTCTTAGACCCAAAGTGTCAAGTGCACACCTGCCCTACGTCTTTCCGTTTACTGTTTCCATTGCCTGGAGTGCAGCTGGCCCTGATTTGCATGTGACTAGCAACTTTTCATCTATGTCTCAACTCAAATGTCATCTCTTCACTAACCATCCTGTCTAATGATTCCCTCCATCTCATCCCACTCACCCCAGCCACTCTCTGTTCTGTTGCCGTTTTATTTTCTTCATGGTGCATCACTCTTTGCAATGACTTTACTTGTTCATTATTTGCTTCTCTCACTAGAACGAACACTCCATGAGAGCAGGGACCTGCTTTGCCTTGTTCACCACTTTATTCCCAGTGGCTAGAACCACGTCTGACAGAGTAGGTGCATAATAAATATTGGTTGCGTGAATGAATAAGCAAATGAACAGCGCTGTGAGAGAGGCATCATGACGCCATTTACAGAGATGATACAGACATGGAGAAGTTAGGTAGTTTGCCCAAGGCTGCCCAACCAGTAAGTGGTGGGTCAGGATTTTCATCCTAGGTGATTCCAACATCATGGTCTTAATCACTGTGTATTGTCAGATTATGTTGAACACACCTGTTATAATCTACAAAAATAATGAAGCTATTTCCATGTTAGTAAAGAGTTAACAATTTCAAGAATTACAATACCCTTAAAATGCACATGCACACCAACTACGATTATGCATGCTACCCTGTGTATTCAGCTAGGGTCCGAATGAATTGCCATGTACAAGGAGAAAGCTCAGTGTCTTTGGCTGGCTTGGTAACATTTTCCTAGTAACCAATTGAAATTTGCAAGATAAAAACTCCGGGGAAATCCTCCACTAATGACATGGAGCCTTGTTCTATTTCTGCCTTAGTTATCTATCAATTTTATCTCCTGAAGGAGTTCCAATCTGCTAGAACATGTGTTTTTCTGTGATTTTCCAGAGAGGAGAGTCTAATTTAAATCCTGTCATTTCAGAGGAATGGAAAGCCCAATTTATTAAAACAGAAAGGAAGAAGCTCCTGAACTACAAGGCTCAGCTGGTGAAGAACCTGCAACCCCGAATTTATTGTCCCTTTGCTGGGTATTTTGTGGAATCTCACCCATCAGACAAGTATGGCTAGACACTTTGTACATCTTTATATACAACTTAATGTATGGTGGAATGAGCGACTTTGCTGTGAAAGCAATGTGACATGAGAAGGAAAGTGATTAGTAGGTGTCTAGAACTTTTAACAAGCTGCTGGAGAACACAGAACATGAATAAAAGCCACACTTGGCAGCCAGGAACTCTTTCAGGAGATAAAATAACAGATATTCTCCAAAAGGATCCCAGGAAAGAGGATGGCAACTGCCATTTCCTATTTGCCAGGAAGTGAACTGGGAACTTTTAGCTAAGCCATCTAAGTTAATCTCCCAATAGCACTATGCATAGGAAGGGGGTATTGTTCCTTTTTTGCAGATAGGGAATCTGAAACTCAGAAAGGCCAAGGGATGTGCCCAAAGTCACCCTGTTGGAAACATGAGTTGAGAATGGAACCCTGGTATGCTTAGTTCCAAAGCTCCTTTCTCTACACCATACTGCATTCCAGAATAGAATTGTGTCATTAACAGATTGAAGCTGTCTTCTCATGTTTTAGGTACCTCATGTGATTTTTCTTGCAGCAGTATAACTTGTGCAAATGCTATGAATCATCACCAATTTATGGGATTGTTGAAAGAAATAAAAGACCATGAATTTGATCTTGTCCCCTTTGCCAATGCTCGGTTAAGTCAAGAAAACCTACATGATTAATTTCAAGATTCTCTTGAAACAAAAGAATTGCTTGCCAAATATGCAGGAATCAAAGATAAAATCTGGCAGTGTGGTTTGTTTTTTGATCTGATATCATAATGCTTATGGAAAAACTCATTTTGAATTTCATCCTAAGTCTGACTCCAACGTCATGCTCTTAATCACTATGTACTGTCAGATTATGTTGAACACATCTTGTGTTTGAACACAATGAAAGGAAAAGCTTAACTGTGACTTAGTTAATACGAGGAGAAATATTTTATTAGGTTCCTAGAGCTGTTGTAACAAAGGAACATAAACTGGGTCATGTAACAAAAATTTGTTACAACAGCCCTAGGAACCTATTACAATTTTTGTTAACAAACATTTGTTAAGTTCTAGGGGCCAGAAGTTTGAAATAAGCTGTGGGCTGAGCCATGGTCTGTTTAAAGCCAATGGGGAAAGACTGATCCCGGGCCCTCTCCCAGCCTCTGGTTGCCTCAGACACTCCTTGGCTTGTAGATGACCATCTTTACTGTCTCTTCACATGGCATTTTCCCTGTGTGCCTATCTGTGTGCAAATTTTCCTTTTTTAATAAAGACATCAGTCAGATTGTTTTAGAGCCCACCTACATGACCTCATTTTCACTTGATTACCTCCATAAGGACCCTATCTCCAAATAAGGTCACATTCTGAGGTACTAGGACTCAAGACTTTAACATTTCATTTTTGAGGGGAAAACAACCCATCACACGTATTTATGTTAAAATGGAAACTTGTCATGGCACCAATTCATAATTTTATACATTTTAAAAAAATAAACCAATAGGCAGATTTTATTTTGACAGCATTAAAATTCCCTGCAAAGTTGAGCAAAATTTGAAGAATATTTCATTAGTATTGATAATTTATAGTTGAGTTTTGATTTATGTAATACCCCTTTGAATTCAATGTTAATATTAATGAGTTGACACAAAAGTTAGTAAATTTACTAAACTTGGACGGGCATAGTTTTGAAACCGTTATGCTTTTGCTTCAAAGCCAAATCAGTTCTTCTAAAAAAAAATATGAACCAGTTGTGTCAATGTGGATTTGAATGTTACATGAAAGTACATTTTTAGTACTTGCTTCTTTTTATTGGGAAACTTTTTGGGTATGTGTGGAACAACTTGAGCATGAGAATCTACTTTTTGAACTATACATTTTATAAAATCTAAATATAGATCAAGTCTTTCGGATGAAAATGTACGATCTAAATTGAGATGTACTCTGTTTAAAATATACATTGGATTTCAAAGACTTAATATGCAGAAAAGAATGCACAATATCTCAATTTTTAAAACTTGATTTCATATTAACATAACATTTGGATTAAGGAAAATTATTAATTTTACCTGTTACTTTGTACTTTTTAAATGTTGCTACTAGAAAATTTAAAATTACACACATGCTTGCATTGTGTTTCTATTGAACAGAGTTTAATAATTTTTGGCATCACAGATCTTTTAATAGAGTAAAATCTCAGCTGTATAGAACTTCTGGGAACGTGGGCATTCTAAATAATGAAATGATGCTAGGTAGCACAGTTTTCTGGATAGCTATAGTTTATCTCTCTAGATGTGAAAATTTTATGATTTAGGTATAATTGTCTTCTCAGAGTATTAGAGCATAATTGATCTTTTCTTGATATCGTGGATTCATCATTTCAAAGTTTTAGAATGTAATAATAACAGCTTGATGTTTCTACAGTTCACTGGAGGATGTTATAACAGGATATGTTTGCCCCTGCACTAAATGGCCCCAGGCAGTAAAGCATTATATCTGCTTGTTACAGTTTAGCTAAGAGGCTGTTAGTGATCATTCTTCACTGCTGTAACAAATCTTTACCAGAAGTCTCAATCCTTCTTTTGATTTGCTGCTTCTAGCCACCTAAGTAATTAAAAGTCAAAAATTAACTTGCTTTCACTTTTTGCATATATGCTTATGAGAGAGGTCCTGAGCAACTCTCCTGGTGAAGGACTGCTAGAAGCCTCGTTCATAGAATACACTCCAAGGAAAAAGAATCGTTTTCTCAAATCGAAGCAATTTTGGTTTCAATAATGCGAAGAGAATCCTTGTTGCAGTTTTTTCTGTCACTAACCTCTCACCACTTTGCCCCAGAAGTATATGCAGTTTTCAGAACATGCACAGCAGAACAGGGAAATTGAAGCCCTGGCTTTTCAGCCAGAAGATGAAGAAGGGGACACCTGGGAGGCAGAAAAATACTGGAGAGATTTCAGATAGGAGGAGGCTTAAGAAAGTGAGCCCGTAAAATTATGGATAAACTCCTGGGTTAACTCCAAAGCTGCACTGTGCATATGGATCTGACCCTAAACAGGATATCAAACAGAGTACATATGCTTAAAACTATAAAACAGATGAAAGAAATCAAAGACTCTAATTAGATAAATGGAACAGTGTACTATATTCATGAATCGGATGTTTAATATAGTTCCTATTTTAATTATCCCCAAACAAATTTGTAGATTCAGTACAATGCCCTTCAAAATCCTAGCAGGATATTTTATGGATCTAGATAGTGTCTAAAATTTATAGGAAAGGCAAAGGAATTAGACTAATCAAAATAATTCTGTAATAGAAGAGTAAAATTAGAGGAACATATTCTCTACTTTTAAGATTACTTGTAAAGCTGCAGTAATCAAGATAGTGTGGTACTGGTGAAGGAATAGACACAGACATCAATGGAACAGAATAGAGAGTCCAGAAATACATCCACACATATATGGCCAATTGATTTTTGGCAAATATGCAATTTGGGGAAATGTGAATGAAAAAAGGCTTTATTTTTTATTTGAGAGGGAGTCTCACTCTGTCGCCCAGCCTGGAGTGTAGTGGCATGATCTTGGCTCACTGCAGCCTCCACCTCCTGGGTTCAAGTGACTCTCCTGCATCAGCCTCCAGAGTAGCTGGGACTACAGGCGCATGCCACCTTGCCCAGCTAATTTTTTGTATTCTTAGTAGAGACAGGGTTTCGCCATGCTAGCCAGGATGGTCTCAATCTCCTGACCTCACAATTCACCTGCCTTGGCCTCCCAAAGTGCTGGGATTACAGCCATGAGCTACGAGCCACCGCGCCCAGCCCGAAAAAAGGCAATTTAATGGAGAAAGGGTAGTCATTTCAACAAATGTTACTGGAGCAATTGCACACCCATACGCAAAAACAAAAAACAAAAAACAAAAAAAACCTACCTCGATCTGAACCTTATGTCATATGCAAAAAGTAAGTAAAAATGGATTATAGATATAAATGTTAATACAAAACTATAAAATTTTTAAAAGAAAATATATGGGAAATATTCTTGTCTATGGGATAGGCAAAGACTTCTTAGATGTTGCATCAAAAGCATAATCTATTTTTAAAATTAATATATTATTCTTTATTAAATTTTAAAATGATTGCTCTATAAATAGGAAACATTAAGAGGATGAAAAGGCAAACTCTAGACTCTGAGAACATTTTGCAAGTAGCATACCTGACAAATAACTTGTATCCAGAACATATAATGAATTCTCAAAAATCAGCAATATGACTATGATTTAAAATAATTTTAAAAATCAATAGTAAGAAAATTTAAAAATTGACAAAATATTTGAACAGACACTTCACCAAAGAAGATATATGGATGTCAAATAAGCATATGAAAAGATGCTGAATAGCATTAGCCATTAGGAAAATGAAAACACCACAATGGCATAACTATTAGAATTAATGGCACTTTGGAAAATTGACAATACCACCTTATGTCAAAAACCAACGGCCCTCATGCTTTGCTCTTAAGGATGCAAAATGGTGCAGTCCCTCTAGAGAACACTTTTGCAGTTTCTCTGAAGCTAAGCTTACTGTATGATCCAACAGTTCTACTCCTGAGTTTTTGCCCTAATTAAATTAAAACTTTTATTCACACAAAAAATCTATATGCAAATATTAATAGCTCCATTCATAATCACCAAATCAACCCAAATAGCCTTCAACAGGTGAATGGATAAACAAGCTATGGTATAGTCATACAACAGACTACTACTCAACAATAAGAACTGCTGCATACAACAGTGTGGATGAATCTCAAAGGCACTGTGTTGAGTGACAGAAGCCAGTCTCAAAAGGTTACATACTAAAAGATTCTATGTATATGATTTTCTGGAAAAGGCAAAATTATAGGAATAGAGAGTAGATTCGTGATTGTGAGGAGGTAGGGGTTAAAGAAGAATTTTACTACAAAGTTGCCAATGCAAGGAAGTTTTGGGGGTGATGAACTGTCCTGTATCCCAATTGTGGTGGCAGTTACACGAATCTATATTTGCGTTAAGATCTATAGATCTGTGCTCCCTTAAAAAGTTAAAAAAAAAAAAACCTCAGTAAATTTGAAAAATTAAAGATCAAAAAAGGCAAACATGGTGATTCTTAAAGAGCATTTTGGTAGTTAAGGCAAGCATATTGGTTTTTTTGTTTGTTTGTGGGTTTTGTTTTGTTTTTTGGTAGAAACAGAGTCTAACTCTGTCACTCAGGCTGGAGTGCAATGGCGCAATCTCAGCTCACTGCAACCTCCGCCTCCCAGGTTCAGGGGATTCCCCTGCGTCAGCCTCCTGAATAGCTGGGACTACAGGCATGCACCACCATGCCCAGCTAATTTTTTTTTGTTTGTATTTTTAGTGGAGATGGGGGTTTCCCCATGTTGGCCAGACTGGTTTCCAACTCCTGAATTCAAATGATCCTCCCACCTTGACCTCCCAAAGTGTTGGGATTACAGGTGTGAGCCACTGCACCCAGCAAGCATAGTTAAGTCATATTTGTGATACAATCAAGTTATATTACATGCACATTTTATGGACTTCATAATCTCTTGCAAAAGCAATACATATAATAAATCTACCCATTTTGTGTTATTTGGAGCACAATTTTTGTCTTAAATGCTAAAGCAAACTTTATAGATGTTTAAACTGCTTTTATGAGATTCCCTTGATTGTATATGGAACTTATTTGATCCTGAGCTTACGCAGTGACTCATCCCCTAGCTATAACATTTTCATGAGCAATCATCTGCTCCACAAAAAATTTATTTTATCATACAGTTACTGATATTTTGTGAACAAAGCGCAGGGACTGTTTATGTGCAGGCAGGAAATGCATGTGTCATTTTACCGTGAAAGTACACTTACCTGTATTTGTCTGAATTTATTGGATAATAAGTCAGTCCTCGAGGCAAGTTTTCGTGACAGTAATCGTGTTAGGACTGCCCATGACTTCTCATCAACTGGAAGCAGCAGGACAGTAGGAGGAGTACATGGGATTGTGGTTTTTGTTCTACCACCATCTATCTGACTTCTCTGCACTTCATTTGTCTCTACCACCATCTATCTGACTTCTCTGCAGGTCAGAACAGGAGATAGGGGTTGTATGAGCACTTTAGGACATGCTACGTGATTTGGATTTTTTCCTGGAAGGATAGGGAGCCTGATAGTCGGGTGAGGAACAGGAATGTAATCAGATGTGCACTGGAGGGGTTTGTATGCCTGTGTGATGGCAAAGGGAAAGGGAGGCCAGTTTGGAAACTGTTGCAATAACCCAGGAAGGAATAATGAGTGGCAGTGGGGAGTGAGAAGGGAATGCAGATTCAAGAAATATTAAGTAGGTTGAGTTGCAAGGATGTGGAGAAGAATTGGAGGTGGTGGGCACTTGACCACTTAATGTGATGCTGTAATTTAAAGCAATTAAAAGCTGCACTGTTGCATGTAAGTAGTTGGCAAATACTTTCACTTCCCACAATACCCCATCTAGATACTGATTTTATTTTTATTTTATAGAGAGACAAAGACACATCAAGAAGTTACAGAACTTTGTGACCACCACACCTTATGTTTTAGGAAGAGTAATGAATAGTAACGTGATTGGAGAGGGGAAAGTTGGAGACAGGGGGACCTGTTAGTGAACCACGTAGAGACTAAGGGCCAGAAGAAGATGAGACACGGTGGTGACTGTAACAGTAGGAGGATATTAATGTGTGTAAAAAGGGAAAAGCTACTGACGTCTTTGGTGCAGTGACAGCATCCTCACTTGTGTCTATAAAATTGATTCCAAGATCATAAATGTGTCACCTGAGTGCTATAGAAATGCAAATGATTATGTACTTTTTGCTTATCTGACTAAACATATCTATCAAGTCTGGGTAACCAATTTGTAGCTCAAGAAAGTAAAATTCCCTTTAGCAGAAATGTCTGTCTATAAAACCCATGTTAGGTGAATCACAGTGGCAAATCCTCTTTCTCTGGATCTTTCTCTTTCTGCTCCAACACAACCACAATCACATTCTTGTATGACATTGAAATTGAAGAGTTAAGGCTTTTCAAGAAAGATTGTGATATGGAATTAGATTTGGGAGACACCACGCTTTTATCAATGCCACAGTTAGAAATTAGATCTCAGCCAGATGCGGTGGCTCACACCTGTAATCCCAGCACTTTGGGAGGCCAAGGCAGGTGGATTGCCTGAGGTCAGGTGTTCGAGACCAGCCTGGCCAACATGGCGAAACCCCATATCTACTAAAAATACAAAAATTAGCCGGGCATGGCGGTGGGTGCCTGTAATCCTAGCTACTTGGGAGGCTGAGGCAGGGAGAATTGCTTGAACCTGGGAGGGGTGGGTAGCAGTGAGCCGAGTCGTACCATTGCACTCCAGCCTGGGCGACAGAGCAAGACTCCGTCTCAAAAAAAAAAAACAAAACAAAACAAAAAAGAAAACAAAAAAATTAGATCTCAGAGCCCAGAAGTTGAGACCAGCCTCAGCAACAAAGTGAGACCCCATCTCTACAAAACATCAAAAAATTAGTCTGGCATAGTGGTGCATGCCTGTAGTCCCAGCTACTTGGGAGGCTGAGGCAGGAGAATTGCTTGAGCCCGGGGGGTTGAACCTTCAGTGAGCCATGTTCATGCTACTGTACTCCACCTGGATGAAAGAGTGAGACCCTGTTTCAAAAAGAAAGAAAAAAAGAAATTGGATCTCAAGATGGGTTGCAACTGAGGATGTATGTATGTAACAAGTAGATTTTTAATGGTTTTGAATGTAAAAACTTTTCAGATTTTACTCCCAAAGTTTTGTGGCATCCTGTGAGGGCTGAGCCTTCACTGGCTGCACAGCCTGTGTTGGACAGCTGGGTGGAGAGCTGGAGCTGGGCTGACTGCTAACGGTATGGCCTCGAGCAAGTCATATGTCCTCTCTAAGCCTTAGTTTATCTCTCTATCAAATGAGCATCATAATAGTACCTCGTGGGGCATTGTGAAGGTAATCAGTTAGTTCATATTAAACACTTAGTATAATGCCTGCCAAATAAGAGTTAATCTATATATTAACATTAAACACAGGAGTGTGCAATTCCCACCTATTTTCAGTAGTCAGTCTTGCTACATCTAACTTCAATTCCAATCACCATGCGATTATACTTAAAAACAAAGTATAAATACAATCTTCTTTGATTGACACTTCTTCTCTAATTAGGGACATTAGCCCAAATATAGTATTTTTCCATGGAATAAGTGGAGGAGGATTGGAAAGTGAAAACGTGGAGAAAATAAAACAGAAATCTGTCATTGTACTCATCAGACTGTGCACTTGAGAATAAACTTTCTTACATGGGAGTGCTCTTATTTCTCAGGTACATCAAAGAAACAAACACCAAAAATGACCCAAAGGAACTCAACAATCTTATCAAGAAAAACTCTGATGTGATAACATGGACCCCTCGACCTGGAGCCACCCTTGATCTGGGAAGAATGCTGAAGGATCCAACAGACAGGTTTGGCTTAAATATTTTTAGAGGATAAAAATGTTTTATAATATTTTTTCAATACTATGAGAAAATAAATGGCTCACCTCTGGCCTCTTGACAGGTTCTTATTTTGTTTGTTATACAGTAAAATCCACACATCACTTTCTATTTTATTTTTTTTTTTGAGATGGAGTCTTGCTCTGCCTCCCAGGCTGGAGTGCAGTGGCACGATCTCAGCTCCCTGCAACCTCTGCCTCCCAGGTTCAAGCAATTCTCCTGCCTCAGCCTCCTGAATAACTGGGATTACAGGCGCATGCCACCGTGCCCGGCTAATTTTTGTATTTTTAGTAGAGACAAGGTTTCACCATGTTGGTCGGGCTGATCTTGAACTCCTGACCTCATGATCTGCTCACCTCCACCTCCCAAATTGCTGGGATTACAGGCGTGAGCCACCGCGCCCGGCCTAGGTCACTTTTTAAAAATGGAAGTCTTACCATTTAAATAAAATGAACTATCCAACAAGTATCTCACAAATCTTGGGGAAGACTGAATTTTTTCCTAATCTTTTCATCCTGTATAACAATGACTCAAATGTTTTCATCATCTCAGAACCTTTCTAGAAGGTAAACAGTGAATAATCTTTTCTTCTATTAAGGGCCATTGATACAGCTCAAAAATAAATTATTTTATGAAAGTAAAAAGCAGTAAGAAAATTAGTTTTCATGTCAGTGCAAATATTACCCAATTTCCTATTCCACAGATAGTACATTTGAACAAGTAACAGTAACACACTGGAAATGCAATCCAAGAAAATTAACATGATGTCACAAAGCTATATTTTTTTGAATACTACTCTGAAGCCAAATGAAACCAGCATGGGCTATTTGGAAATGGACTAACATTTTGGAGAGTGGTACATGCAATTACCAAAAGCTCACCCTCTCCCAGCCTTGCCTCTGCAAAGTCAGTATGAATGGTAAATCAGCTGATTCTGTCTTTTGCTAACTTCCCATATCAAACAAGTTATCAAATCTGGTCAATTCTCCTTCATAAAGCACTCACAAATCCATCACTTATCTCCAGCCTCTTCTGCCCTGGCCTTAATTCTGCCTCTCAAAATTTATCACCTAGACTCCTGCAGTGCCCCCTGACTCCCACACAACTTCCCTTGACCCATCTTCCATGCCAGTGTCTTCAATCTGCTGGTCACAATCCATTGGCGAGTCATAAAATTAATGCCATTGCTCACAGTCAATGTTTTAAAAATGAAATATAATAGAATAAAATGAATAGAATAGAAAATACCTGAGTACATTTCATGTAGCAAGCGTATCATTTCATGAAACTTTTGTTTCATAGGTACCCTTGGTAGGTGGACTCCAGGGTCCTAATGTAAAATATCGTCTTTACTGGGATGATAGGCAAAATGTTTGAAAGCCCCTGCTCTTGATTGCTGACAAAGTAACCTTTCTAAAGTGCAAACATTCCTGTTTAAAATTCTGCAGGATATCCTTAGTGCCTCCAGGATAAAAGTGTTTCTAATTTTATTTTCCAGGTCTAAAGGTTTTTAATTATTCCAGTTCTTAGCAAGGTATTCAAGAGCCTTTGTCATTTTACATTTGCCTAACTGCAAAAATCATCTCTTTCTATTGCCCCAGCAGTAATTTTCAAGCTTTAATGAACATCAGAATAACTGAAGAGACTCATGTAAATCCAGATCCCTGGACTCCCTTCCCCCCCAGATCCGGATTCAGTAGATCTGAGGCAGAGCCCAGGAATCTGCATGTGTATCCTCGTGCCTCACCAAAGCATTCTGCGTGACTAGAAAGTCAACACTGTTGGGTCTCAGAGCTAAGACAAAGTATAGGGGACACACAGAGACCAAGTACTTTAACTGCCTTGCAAGGGGAGGAGGAAAAAAATGTGACCAAGGAAAGCTTAATCTGGATCTTTGGCATTTAGAGATGAGGAGGATGTCACAAGTAGAGAGAAGAAAGAGATTCTAGTCAGAAGCAATGGGATGTGCTGGAGACGGCAAGTGTACAATGGGTTTGGTGAATGCGGATACTTCGAATGAGGGCATAAATATATGTCATTCATTGAGAAATGATTTATTGAACTCCTTCTGTATACAAGTCATCATCCCAGGTATAGGGGATACAGATGTGAAGAGGCTTTTGTCCTCATAAAGCCATCTGTCTTCCTGAGTAGAGGGCTTGTGAGTGAAAGCGGAGGAAAAGGGTGAGACGGATAGGCGGCCAGGCTTGGAGAAAGGTCCCAGAAGCCAGTGTAGGGAATTTGGGCTGTGAGTGAGGTGAGGGGAGCTGCAGAATATTATAAAGCAAAGAAGGGACATTACTGAGTTGTGTTTTAGAAAAACCATTTCAGCTTTGCAGAGAATGGATTGGGGAACAGGTAGAACCACTGGAGTAAGGGAGGGTGGTTGGGAGGGTGTGGCTTTCTATAGAAAGAGATTAGTGAAGCTCTAGACTGAGGCAAGGCAAGGAGTTGCAGAAGAAGATTTGAGATATATTTAGAAGTGAGAAGCTTTAGGATTTGTTAAATAATTGTTTTTTCTTTTTTTTTTTTTTTTTTTTTTTTTTTTACAGAAACCAGTACATCTGTAGCTTAGGGCATATAAAAGTATAGTTTTGAGAAGAGGGTCAGCTACCGCCACCTGCCACGTCTTTATGAGATGGGCACCTATTTCCCTCCTTATATTTTCTTTATCCAGATCACATCCTATTCCATTCTCGGGATTTAAAATTCCGCATTTTATGCAAGGATACATCTTCATATGAGATGGACAGAACTCTAGGATTGTCAGAGAACTCTATTATCCACATTACTGGCTGGGTTTAAGGATAAAAACTTGCATCTGTCTATTGGCTGTGCTTTGATTAGGACAGCAAGAGCACCATATATTAGAGACACAAAGTTCTGGGAATTTCTTAAAGATACGCTAAAGTCATCCATATATCCAACAAATACTTATTGAACACCTGCTATGGGTTCAGCCATGGTTGCTACTTTCACCAAACTTATATTCTAATTGGGGTGGGGAGGCACAAGTGTGCAGGCATCCACAAGATCATATGGCCAGATTATAAGCAACATTTCCATAATTTACTTGTTTGGAACAAAGAGGCCCAAATTAGTGGTTTTCACACGTTTTTTTCTAGACATTAAGACTTCTTTCTTCAAATGAAATCTGACTTAGAAACCTATCACACTAGACAATAGGAGCTGCTCTGATTTAGGCAATGGTGGGACCACTGAGGCACTTTTGTGGGACCCCTTGTGAATTATCTGAGTAGTCTCAAAGCTGCTAGTCTGGTTGACTTTTACTACTTAAGTACTAACTTTTGCCTTCATTACTTGTTGCTTTCTTTCACCGTTCTCACACCTTTGTGTCTTTAAGCAAGGGCATCATAGAGCCTCCAGAAGGGACCAAAATTTACAAGGATTCCTGGGATTTTGAACCTTATTTGGAAATCTTGAATGCTGCTGTAGGAGATGAAATATTTCTTCACTCATCCTGGATAAAAGAATACTTCACTTGGGCTGGATTTAAAGATTACAACCTTGTGGTCAGGGTATGCTATTGTTTTTCTTTGCTTTCTTGCATAATGGAAATACATGAACATCCCTTTGTTTTCCAATAAGCATTTATTAAGTCCTATCAACTGCCTAACAGAGAACAGATTTGACAGTGTGATCAGCAATATCTTGTTGAATATTTAGAGAATGTTCTGAAGTCCCTAAGTTTTTCTTTTGGAACATCTTTTATCTCCTATCACCACGTGTTTTTTGTTGTTTGTGTTTGTGAGTGTTTAGGCTTTGTTTTGGCATGGCAGGAACAGCTATTTAAACTGTGAGGCTAGAAGGTAGGATCCACCCAAAGAGGTGATGGCCTGGAGCAAGGTGAGGTAGAAGCAGGTAACCCTTATCTGCAGCTATACTGAGGCTGAATTGCACAAATTAAGAACTAGGCCTAGGTCTACAGCTTAAACTAGCCCTAACACATTCATACAGAGCCACAAGCTAAGAAAGAGTTCATGTTATAACCTAGTCACCAAAACTGGACATATCTCCAGAAGCAAACTAAATACTAGCAGACAGAGGGTGCAAGACAAAGAGGAGGTCTGAAATGGGACAGGAGTAACTGCAAAGTCAGCAAGTAAACAGCCACCTGTGGCTTATATGAGATGCCTGAGGTTGCGCAGAGGAGCAAAGTTTAGGGATGTCATCAGGAAATGGACAACACTCACACTCTTAAGACACGAGTATTTGTTACCCTTAGGGTAAGAACTACTCCCAAGTTTATCTTTCAATTTCTGAACACTAATGCCAGATACTACTTACTATTCTCAAAAGCAATGATCCCCAAAAACCTAGCTGGGGCCCATGGCCAGTCTGTGGCAAAGTTTTTGCTGGCAAATAGTGAAATAAATAAGAGAGCAGGTATGTATGTCAACTCTCTTTTCTTGGGATGAATTGCTATTATTCCATGACTAAGTCCTTTCTATTTGGGTATTAAAACATTCTTTCTTCAATGAAATAAAAGGGTAGCAGAGGCAAGATTTTTTTCAGTCCTCACTTAGCCAAACAAATGGCTAATATCTATATTAGTTCCCAGATAATTTCTAGAAAATTGTCTTTGAAATCTAATGACCTAGGAAGCATTGGTAAATGATATTTTCATTAGGACAATTACTATGAAAAAGAGAAAAACTTTTGACAGTTTTTTTATAAAACATTTTCAGTGAAACCATTTCTATATAGCTGCTATATGACAGTGAGAAACATTCCACATTTATTTCCTCACCTGCAAATTCATGGTGGGATTTGATATCTCATTAGTAATAGTACTTCAGATAGAATAACCAGCTCTATACATTTGGTGTTAGTGACATGAAGCTGTTTTGCTAATATAGACTAGGATTTGAATGTTACAGTTCAGGTGAGAGAAGAGACTCTTAATATTAATTTCCAGTTCATTGCTATCATCTATCATTTGACAGCGTTTGAGTCTTACACATTCTTAGAATTTTTTAAAGACCTTGACCACTTGATTGATATTCTTCTCTTTACCATGTTGTCATTTGCACAGATGATTGAGACAGATGAGGACTTCAATCCTTTTCCTGGAGGATATGACTATTTGGTTGACTTTCTAGATTTATCCTTCCCAAAAGAAAGACCACAACGAGAACATCCCTATGAGGAAGTAAGCAGCAACACTGGTGGAAGTCTGCTTTTCTTCCTTCTTTCCATCCTTCCTTTCTTTCTTCCTTCCTCTCTTCCTTCCTTTCCTCCTAAATAAACTTTTAATTTTAGAATAACTTCAGGTTTACAGAAAAGTTACAAGGATAGTACAAAGTGTTATTAACAACTTACTTTACTATGGTACATTTGTCACAACTAACAAACCAATATTAAAAATATTGTTATTGATCAAAGTTCACACTTATTTCTTTATGAGCCATTCCCAAAGATTGGATTCTCCATCTGCTTACTTCCAGACACCTGTTCAACCTAAGCTGTTATTAGACCTGTGAGCATTGATCTCTGCCTTCCTTTTCCTCTGCCCCTCTCAATGGGTGTCTCTGGAAAGGGAGTTAGATCAACATGAAGCATCACATATTGATTGCATTCAAATTCTGAACAAAGCTCTCGCCAGTGGCAGCATTATGTAAAAAGCCGTGGCAGTGGAGACAGTGTCAAGATGGGGATTGATGCCCCTTTCTGCACATCATGATTCCTGATTAGGAGGCTTTGAGCAGTTATTTAAGCTGTCTGAGCTTTAGGGGTTTTTGTTTGCTTCCACAGGGCTTGCTCCCACCTTACCAGTTTGTCGTGATAGTCAAATGACATAATATATGTGAGCATGCATTGTAATTTAAAATTGTCTATGAATGTCAGAATCATTAGTTACAAGGATATACAGTCTGCCCTTAAACTTATTGTATGTGCCATTTAAACGTGTGATGCCCTAAATGTAGAGGTTTAAATATACCTTCACCTAATAGATGTAATAAATGTGCTCTTAAACTACATTTTAATAAATTGACTAGTATTTTTGTGTTTACTAAAATACTTGCTATTGAAGAAATCCTATATTGAAACTTCAGTAAAACTAATAATCTACTACCTGATTTATAGGTATTTAAAAAAAAAACACAAAAACTGGCACCAGGCACAGTGGCTCACACCTGTAATCCCAGCACTTTGGGAGGCCAAGGCAGGTGGATTGCCTGAGGTCGGGAGTTTGAGACCAGCCTGGCCAACATGGTGAAACCCCATCTCTACTAGAAATACAAAAATTAGCTGGGTGTGGTTGTGGGCACCTGTAGTCCCAGCTACTTGGGAGGCTGAGGCAGGAGAATCACTTGAACCCAGGAGACGGCAGTTTCAGTGAGCCAAGATCATGCCATTGTACTCCAACCTGGGTGACAGAGCAAAACTCGGTCTCAAAAACAAACAAAACAAAACAAAACAAAACAAAACTGGATTTTTACATGTAAGAAAATCCTGTGTGAGACACCGTATAGATGATAAATAGGCTTACACCTTTTTAGACAAAATGACTCTTTGCATTTATTGCTTTATGTATCAAACACTTACCTAGCTTGCTTTATGCCAAGCACAGTGTTAAACACTTTGCAAATATTAAGACATTTAATCCAACAACAACCCTATGAACAGATATTACTGTCTGCCCCCATTTCATAGATGAAGAAACTGCGGTTATAAGAGTTAGAATAACTTGCCCATGGTTGTACAGCTAAAGATTGGTGGTGCGGGGCTTTAACTCAAGCAGTCTAGCTCAAAGTCTATGCTCTTAGCCACTGTGTAGCCTTTTAAATCTGAATTTACAAAACCTATAAATTGAGATGTCTGTTAGCCTCAAGAGATTCACCTTTGAAAATTTTTAAATAACTTCATTTAAAATATTTAATTTGGAAAAAAATATCACTTTTTCACAGCTTTCCATAATGCATCTGCTGGAAAGAACAAGTAGCAGTTCTGTTGCAGATTAAATATACCATGGGGCAAATCACGATGCCATCTCTGCACATTGTGCTGTTATAATGTCGCTTGAGGGCTTTTATCTCCCAGGATTTTAGGGAGAGTTCTATATGCTGAGGTTTGGTTAAAGGGGTTATGCCTATATATGGAAGAGCTCCTTTTCTTGCTACCTGGAGCCTTCTTATATTGCCTCCCTCCTGCCACCTTTTTGGAGGTATTAATTGCCTTTCAAACTCATCATTTCTATCACGCTGACTCTCCATTCTTAAATGCATGGCTCGCCATCCTCCTGCACCAATCTGGAAGGGCTCCTCTCTAACTCTGCTGCAAATCCACCTTTCACTGCCTCCAGACCCCACCCATGCCTTTCCCTTCCTTGCTTCACTTCTATGTGGGACTTTCTGCTTAACTGTCTCCTGCCTCATGGTGTGTAAGTTTCAGCGGGTAATTCTGGGTGACTAATCATTTTCCATAGACACCCAAAGGTACTGCTCCTTTGGCTTCCCGTTACAGACAAGGTTGCTCTAAAGAAAACTTATACTAGGTTGATCCTCCTTTCTTTGTGGGTGACTTTTAAGAATTACAGGATTAGTCCATATTTACTGATAAAAAGACTTTTTCCAGCTGATTTGGGGCTCTTATGTACAGGTGTAGGATCTGTCATTCCATAGGCTCTACTTACAGGGGGCTTGCACACTGGTGCAAGGCACATCTCGTAAACTGGTGAAGCTGGGTGCAGATTGCATCAAGTAGAATGCAGGAGGAGAAGGGGGCAGGCCTGCTAAGCTCCAGCTGATCTGAAATTTCCAGAGAACTTGAAAATCTGGCTTTTCATGTGAAATACCCAAATTTATAAATGTAGAAAGCAGAGTCAATGTTCTTAAAGAGCTATAGACTACATGAAATGAGAGCTAGGCTGTATTTGGCCAAAGGATCATCAGTATGCTTTAAGCTGTGAAGGTGAAGAGAGGGGCCAGCTAGTAGGCTAGGGGACCCCTGAGTGCCAAAATGTGGTGGCTCTTGCTTTCAGCATCACAAATACACTACCTTGTTCTCCCCTCACTCCAAAATTGATTCTATGTATTGAGATAACTGTCTAAATATATTTGACCTGGGAGCCATATGTAGTATAGGGACAGGGCCAGCTATCTCATGGACATACTTTTGTGCTCGCCCTGCTGTCATCCACAGTACCTACTTCTCTTCCCTCCACATCTGAACGCCCCTCCATGTACTGTCTGGGATTCTACAGTCTCTGCCCTGCATCTTTGGTTTCCATTTGTCTGCACGCTTTGTAGATTCACGTAATTAGTTGAATTCTCCTGTCAATGAATCACTTCCATTTCTTTTCACTGTGGCAGTTTATTCCTGCATAATTGCTTGGCAACATTTTAGTTGGATCTGGAAATGCAGAGGAGATAGATTATGCACGCAATTTGTCCATCATTGTGAAGCAATAGTCTTCTCCTTAGCCCAGTGACAGTACCTCCTTGTTTTCCTGAATATTCTTTTGCATTCTTTTGGAGTTCCTCTTTCCCCAGCCACTGCTTAAGTCTCTTGTTTCCTTCCAGGACTCTGCGTTCATTCCACTGTTCTTCCCAAGTCTCTTCCTGGGTAAACTCACCTGCTAACATCACTTCTCTGCTAATGACTCCAAAAATAATCCATATGTCCAGCCCAGAGCTCTCTCTGGCTGCCTCTAGTGCTGTCAAGCTTTGGGTTCTTCCATAGTCAACTGTCTGCTAGATATAATTGTCTGGATTTCTGAATCCTTAGCACCTAATTTTCAACTTGTTCAAAGTTCAACTCCTCATCCTCCTCCTTTAAAATGTTCTTTTTCCTTTTTCTATCTGATCGTGGGTAATATCATTCCCCAAGTCAGTCAAGCTAGAAACAAAGGAGTAATCTTTGGTTCTTCCCTTTTCCTGCATCCCCAAACCTAATCAATAATCTAGACCTTTCCATTTTACACCCCAAATATTTCTTCAATCTACTTCCAGTTTTCCTGTGTGCTCCTCTCCCAGCTAAAAGGCCAAGAAAGGCCATTTACCCTGCACTGGGAGGAACCAGGTCCTGGTAATGCATCTTAGCCAGGCCGACCTTAACCTGACCAAGCTGTGGAATCATGTTTCTAAACCTCTGTTAGCAAAACTGTGACCTATGTTTGTAACCTCAGTTCATAATAGATATAATTGTTTTATATAAATGGTGCAAAAAAGAGAAATAGATCTAAAAATGCCAAACTTCCAATCAGTCTGTGTCATTTAATAGCCTCTCACTTATGAAAAGTTTGCCTCTACTGGTATTGGCATGATATTTACCAGGGGAAAATGTGATGCAGACACTGAAAGGGCTCCTAACACTGGTGCTGATGGATTGTTAAAACTAAGTCCAACCAAGAACAACTTCTCTTTATTTTCTTTATATAAATTGTCTCATTTTTTTCTCACAATCGTCTCATAATAGAGAAACGGAGGCTTAGCAAGCTTAAGGTCACATAATTAGTAAGTGCAGGGCTGAGACTCAAGACCATCTCTGCTTGTCTCTTAATCCTGTGCTGCTTTGGCTCTTCAACAGTTTAAAAGTTGGGATTTTTTAAGGATAAGGATCTTGACCACATGATTTAAAGTAATCCTGTTCTGTGACAGGCCAGAAACTACAGACTGTTGTGAGCTTGCAGGCTCTGCTTTGCCTCTAAATGTTCAGGTGGAGACTTGAACACTCGGCTTTTAGAATGACAATGATAGCAAAGATTTCTTGAGTGCTTACTATGTGCCAGGCTTTAAGTGTTGTATATACATCCTCACAACAATCCTATAAGGCATATTCTATTATTCTCTTCATTTTATAGATAAGAAAGCCAAGGCACAGAATGGTGACCAAGATCACACAGCTAGAACCTGGATTTGAACCCAGCAATCTGCAGTCTGTGCTCTCAGCCAGATACTCCCCCTGCTCTTAATCCATTACCTGTTTTCCTTCTTTCAAGTCCTGCTGCACTTAGCTTCTTTCCTTTTCTCCTCAGCCTGTGATATCTGCTCCCAGAGACTTTTCTCCTTGGCTCTCCATGCCTCTGCCATCATGGGCAGCTGCTTCTCCCAGGGACAGGAGGGATCCATACTCTGCTGCCTGGGTTGCCCCTGCGAGTGGTTCCATGTCTATTTCAGATCCGTACCCGGGTGGATGTCATCAGACACGTGGTGAAGAATGGTCTACTCTGGGATGAGTTGTATATAGGATTCCAAACACGGCTCCAGCGGGATCCTGACATATACCATCACCTGTAAGTCTGGAAGCACCTGGCGCCCCCAGGCCACTGCTGAGGCTGCTGTGGCTATGCATAAGCAGTCAGTGACTGCCTAAGCCCCCAGATTCTGACTAATATGTGAGATTCCACCATTAGCGCTTCATTCCTTTGTTAGTTGGTTAAAAAGCAATTCTGGTTAGGAAGGTATAACATTAAAGAGTCATTTATACATTCATATGAATGTGTTCCTGCACCCTTCTGGAAGTGGGTTTTGGTGTAAGAAAGAGAAATACATTATAAGAGGGAAAGGGTATGTTTGCCAAGACAAGAATGAGTATTTGTGTGGCAAAGACATGGTCATCGAATTAGTGAATTCCTGTATCACATTTTTGTCTGTGCTCAACAATGAGCATGAATTTGATAGGCTAGTTGGTTTAAGGGAATGGCCCATGAGTTTCTGTCTGACTGCACTTCAAAACTGTTTAAGTCATTAGGATCATATTTAGAATATTTGCACTGATATCTCAGAAAGGGCAATTTGCCATTTTTATATTTGCAAAATAATCAAAGGAAAGAGTACTTTTTCTCATTACCACAGATCCTCTGAAAAAATGCAGAAATTTAATTTAAAAATTCTAATTATTTAAAATGTATAAGCAAAAGTTTGTACTCTGAGCTTGCAAGCAGAGGCATTTATTAAAATTTCTTTTTTACTTATTTCCTTTTGAATGTTTTTAAATGATATGAAAATGTTTAAGAATGTGAAGCTATATAAAATATAAAGGAAGTAACCCCACCAAGTCCCTCTCAGGAAACCCTGTTTCCTGCCCTTCCTTCCACCCACTCTTATGGTAACGTTTGATAATACCTCAGTGTGCACCCTCACAGGCCAAGCGACGTTTCTCTAAATATATTTGTTTTCAATAAAATGTTCCACATAGTTGGTGGTGAGGGAGTGTTATTGTTGCTGTTTTTATTTTTTATTTTTTTAATTTTGGCAAAGCATGCACCACCTTTGGGATGTTGCTATTGTTTTTAAATGAAACCCTAGTACATATGTTCTGCAACTTGCATCTTTTACTCATCAATATATCTTAGAGAGCCTTCCACATTGGGACATCCAGGTCAACCTCAAATCTTTTAATAGCTGTAAAACATTCCAAGTTTTTTTTATCATTTTCAACAGATCATATACCTAACTCTTGTTCTAGAAAGAAAGGAATCTGGCAACTTTTGAGGGGATCTTGGGGATTTTTTTCCTTAAGAAAATAATTCCGTCTTGGAAACCACTAAACTCTATCTTGTTCCATCGTGTTTTGGTAACAAGGGTCACAAATGTAAGAAGATGTCATCGTGAATATTGGGAAGCAGTCACAGCCCACTTTATCTTGTTGCTCTGAAAATGGGATTTGTGAATTTACTAAACATTCTTCTGGTTATAAAAAAAAAATACATATCCACTGTCAAAAATCTGAAATATATATATTTAATATATAAATATGTGTGTGTGTGTGTGTGTGTGTGTGTGTGTGTGTATATATATATATTTTTTTTTTTTTTTGAGACGGAGTCTTGCTCTGCCATCGGGGCTGGAGGTGCAGTGGTGTGATCTCGGCTCACTGCAAGCTCC